GGGGGGTGACTCTGGGTGTCGAACGCGAATTACAGCGGAGTTTTGTAGCCCAGCAGGGTCTCTCAAGCTGAGAAGGTTCGACGTTTTCGGCTCCTCAGATGCCCAGCTAATAGTAAGGTTTGCCAAAAGCGCCACCATCTGGCTGATTCAATTGCTACCTGGTCCTTTGTTCCACAAGTCACCGATTACCTATGCTGAAAGCTTGGTACGCACCGGCAAGGCTACTGATTTTGGGCAAAAACTACTGCTTGTAGCAGGTAAAAGAGAAAAGCCCTGCAGGCAGTATGTCATCTGAACAGTGCGCCACAGATTTCGAGCTAAAGGACACGCCAATCACCATAACGATTGTCTCATGCTGTGCACCTACAATGCTAGGACAGCCTCCACAAACGCCGCTCCTCACCTTTTGTTGAACTGCATTGCACATCATCTACCACTAATTGCCGTGCGGATGTAAAGTTTAGGGAGACGGTTTAGGGAGACAGCTGAGTGATGGCCCACTCATCATCCTGGTGAGAAAGTTTCTCATGGAACGAGGCGTTGGATTCGTATTACATCCATGTCACGCATGCGACCCTAACCTCGCCTGCCTACCCTTCGATCCCGCCCCTGCGTCAGAAAACCGTCATTATCATCTATTGCTACTTCAATATCCAATGCTTATGATTAGATGTATTTTATGAGGATTTGGAGGAAGTAGTAAAAAAAAAATCCCTTCTAAAAATTCGTCCGGGTTGATCAATGCGAAAATTGGGATGTCAGAAGAAGGTGATAGGACCGATAGATTTGGTTCGGAACATTGGAATAAGAATGGTAACCGTCTTGGGGAGCTCTTATCTACCGCATAATTTTTCCTGGCAACTCCATCTCCATGCTGAAAGAACACCGGCGAGGACATAGAAGTCAACCGTACGCCTCATGGACCGACCGGAGATGGTGGTTACTGGACGTCTTAGTGATATCATCATCAGCAGTGGTTATCACCGTCCCCTTCAAGCAAGAGTGCGATTCAGAAGAAAGCCGGAAAAGAATATTTGTCGTATTGGAGGAAGGAGAGAAGTCATATTGGCGTCACACTGTCGGCGTTTCTGACCCTTTGTGACTGGCCTCTGAGGACCCAACGAAAGACTGCCATCTTCTTCTCATAGGACTCAGAGCTTGTGGTGAAAGTGCCTTAATGCTTCGAACAATGAACGTGGAAAAGATTCTAAAAAACTGTTAAGGATCTGCTTGAGAAGAGAGCAATGAGGCTAGATCCAACTTGACATCGCGACCTACTGATAGCCAACAAGTTGCAGAACCGCAGTGCAAGAAGATTTTTCGAAGTGTAGGCATTCAAGACTTTTGGAAGCAGCACAAGGAAAGAGGGCTTTAAAAAGTACCGCCGGGAACCTTTTTGATTACCTATTCCCTGACAACATTATTAAGCGAAGGCGGGGCTCGCACATCTTCCCTACAGAAGATGGAATCGATCACGAAGAGATTCTACCAATCTCTTCTGTTCATCAACAGTCATGTCAGACCACGTTATCCCTTGTTCATGGCAGAATTATGCGCCACAATCCAGACCATGAGAGCAGCCGCAGCTCCGGTACCGGGCCGCGTTTCGGCCGATCTCTTACAAGATAGAGAACATTGCCTGCACGAGTAATGCTTTACCTACAAAAGTAAAGGATCCCCGACTAGGAGAACTCACGGACAATCCCCCTTCATAAGAAGGTCCATAGGGAGAACCTTCGGAACAACACTTCAATATGCCTGCTGAACTGCTTTACGTGTTCTTCACGAAGATTATTCTCACTCGCACATCAAACACTGGATACAGCCCAACGTCTGGATCATATCCAGAGTTTCGAAGACTATCGAGGTTGCCGAAGAATCCGTACCCTTTCATACCTTCATCGACCATGAGAGAGCGTTTGTCAGCGTCGAGATTAATGTCATATTGTCAGCGCTCTTCGACTAAGGGAAGGACTCATCTAAGAGTCGTTGGCCGTCTGCTCACTACTCATCACGGTACAGCTTTTCCATAGCCCCCTTAGAACACTAATCTCAAAGGGAGTTCGACTTGACACCGTGTCGTCAAAGCTGTTTATCGCCGCCCTGCAAGGCGCGATAAAATCACTGGTGGAAAGGGACGTATACGAGACCATGGGAGATTCCTCGAACTTTCGTTTTTCCGCTGAAGAAACTAAACGAAGTGGGACGTGGATAGGAGTGTGAAGCAAGCGAAGAATTTTGCGAGAATCAAGAAATGAGAAAAGTTTCCCATTCGCTGAGACGTCTTATGTATATCACGGGCAACGTAGCTTGAAACTATGACTACATCGAAGGTTCTCTGAGCGACCACAGAGCGCTATAGCATTTAACATCTCGTCGGACTTTGCAGTTTACATATGAGATTAATGTCTTGTGTTTGCAATCCAAAGAAAACGTTTCTAGGGCAAACAATGAGGTAGTTATATAATGAGAAAGATAGACGGCAGATGAACACTAAGAACTCTGCAATGAATCCCTCGCAAAGCAAAACGTGCTCGAGGAAAGCACCAGCTAAATTTTTAGCTAAACAACTAATGGATCTGGACTTAGCAAACGTCGCAGCTCAATACTGAAATCGTGGATGACGCTAGCGAGACACAGAAACGGATGGGAACAATGCTGGAGCCCACACGAAGAGTGAAGCATCTGAGTACCTTAGTAAGTGAAATGCGTACAGTCTGGCTGCTTTGTCCTATGATTATTGTTTCACACCAAGTTGTTGTTTCAAGTGCTCATTGCTTGTCCATATGAGCAACTGCTCCGCTTCGCCGCACTTCCACTCGGAAACTGTAATGTGTCACGATATGATTATACATTTATATGATTTCATGACGGTTGATAATAGTCTTATCTCTTTCTTAACGAATTGATCTTACTCGCAGCAGAAATTTGCGAAATCGCACCAGCAGACTACTGATGTATACATACATATTTTTTAAAAAATTTATTTATAGACATTATGACTATTTTGGTGATATCGCGATGCCGCTTCTCAGATGGTTAGGAGCAATTCATACAAATGCACTGAATCAAACTGCACTAGAAAACGACACGGTGATCTATCAAGGCGATGAAGCCATAGAAAGTTATGCCAACGTAAGACCATTAATCTACAAATTATGTTTCTGTGATTAAATATATTAAGCTTGTCCGTTGGAATGCTACCAAGATAGGCTGCGCTTGGATCAAATGCCCAAATAAATGCATCCCGCACGGTGACGTCTACACTGCGTACTGCCTAACAAATCAACAGTAAGTTAATGTTTTTTCTTATCAACATATAAGGTCAAGAAAGACCAAGGTACATCTGGGGGACTAAATAAAGCAAGCAAAAAAGACTAAGAAAAGTGCTCTCTTACATTATCTTTTGGAAAATTATAAATGATGTCATTTCCCACGAAGGGATTCACATTAGTTACGGTTACCCGATTTGCTTTCAGAGAAGTTTGGACTACCTATGTCTTTGATTATTTTTTTCTTTTATATTTTTCTTTAACAATCAAAAACAACACAAATGCAACTAAGATTTTCTAGACCTCTCAAAGAAGGCGATATCATCTACGAAAAAGGGCTTGGCGGATGTAGCAACGAAACGGATTGTCCAGAACCTTATAAATGTGATGCTATTTCTGGTTTGTGTGGAACATTAAACGTTACTGCTAAATTTGCTTTATAATTTATTTTGATAAAAGTTTTCCTGCAATCTATTGGATCCTAGAACCAGAAAATTGAATAATAAATGATAACATTATCCATGAAGGGATTCAGATGAATGCTTGATTTGCTCTCAAAAAGTTTGGACTACATGTTTTTGTTTGCTTTTTCCTTTATTTATTTCCTAGCAATCAATTACAACGTAACGCAATTAAAGGTGTCTAGACCTCTCAAAGGAGGAGGTGTTTTTTTTACGAAAAAGGCCTGGCGAATGAAGCAGCGACCAGGATTGTTCAGAACCTTAAAACTATAATGTTACATCTTGGGCGGTAGTAAACTCCCTGTATGTTACGACATCAAGGTCGCAACATGTGACGAGCGTGGCTCACGGCAGATCCATCTATCTCGCACTGTCTCGTACTTTCAACATGCGCGCCTGACGCGGTGCGAACACCTCGTAACATCAGCGCGTTAGAAAGATGCGAGGATGTTACGAGGTTCGAGATGTTGTGACACCGCGGCAGGCGTGAGGTTAGATAGCGCACGAAGAGGAGAGAATTAGACCTGTTGCGAGTCGTAAGTTCGAGCACGCCATGTCCGTAACATTTTATATAGGCAGGTACATCACGGACCACGCACTAATGACGCGCATTTTATCAACTGAAGGAACGAAAACTATTAGCCTTTTTTGGGTTTCACTGTTTTTTTGCATTTTCTCAAAATTGTTTTTACTCAATTCTAAGTTCCTTAGAACATATAATCGTATCTGGAACTTGACTAAAAAATTTTTGTTTTTTTGGCCAAAATCTTATTGAAATTGTCTCCGAATCATGGGACTTTATTGTCTTGGCTAAATAATCTTTTCCTTCGCTTTTCTTTGCGATTTACTCGTGACCATGTCCATATCAAAATGAATAAACATAGCAATTGATGTTTTTTTCTGAGTTAAACCCTATTTTGTCTGGTTCTTAACATTTTAACGCATGCTGCAAAATGAGTGAATTATTAACGGATTGATGCCGCGGTGGATTAAAGAGTTCAAGACAACGCAGCCCACTCTCTTAAAATTTCAGCCAAACAATTAATCTTGAAAACTCTCCTAAAATATGTAAAAAGAAGTCATTCCTCCTTTTACAATAAGATACATTTTTTGGCATAGAAATCCTTTCTGGAAAAGATCTAGCGATATGGTTTTAGCTATATGATGCAAAATTTTTTAAAAGAGTAATCTGATAGATTTTAAGACCGAGGAATGAGGAAGAGAAATGTCTTGAATTGAGGAAAGTAAACATGCTTGGTTAAGCTAATTACAAAAGAGTTAAAGGAACAAGTCTTCTATCATTTCGGATATCTAGTATCCCACTCCGTAGCCCTTGTTTTATTCAATATGGCTCGAACAGCACCTCTTGCAAAGATGAATATTACCTTCATATTTGCAGTGTAACGGTACTGATAGTGAAGTGGTTATGAGCGCCATTGGCTTTCGTTCAACGCAGATTCGATGACGGGGCTGGCTGCAAGTTTTGCGTCTATCTCAAACTTTCAGAAAACTTCAATAACGCTCGTAACTAGCTCATGCCATGTTTGGAGTTGTCACGAGCATGGTTCGTTCTTGTTGCGACAAATTTTGGGGAGATTACTACCACCCATTGTGTCAAGCACAGACTTCGGCGGCAGGTCTCCGAAGGGCAAGCTGGAATTCGTTTTTGCGAAAAAAGCAAAGGAAAAGTCGTACATGGTCATAGTTGGAATCAGGGGTTTACTATCAGTGCTGCTTTTTTAACAAGAAGAATGTTGTACCTCCCCACCATTCTTCTTATTCAATTCCATACGCATGACCATCCAGAAACATGCCCCAATACGGATTCGATGTTCGTTTCAATGCGAGCGTTTGCGCGCGAAATTCAGACGAATTATACAGTATCCGTATAAACCGGTTTCTTAGCAAGTAGACAATGAACATCCACCAAAAGTCTCAGAGATGCGAAACAGTAGTAGAAGAGGTGTTCGAAAAATCTTTAAAAAATTATGACAATGAAAAATTGCTGCACCTTTTTGTGATTTAGGTGTCCGACGGAGGCCTACGGGAGACCTCAGGTCTCCGATTAGCAAACACTTCTTTGTTTCTCATAATTTTGCGCTCCTTATAACAAATGCTTTTTGTGCATCCCTTGACCTAACTTACAGCACAATAACTGGATCAAAGGACTTTCCTTAGGAAAAAAAAGATTACTAAGTTCATGAATGCTTTGCAAGAGTTCGTGCGATTTTTCCAACTCAAAAAGTATATAATAAAACTTTGACGTCTAGCTTCATAACATTTGATAAAAGATTTTGAATCACAATATGAATGTTGACTTTTCCATCTGATTGTTCTAGAAGTCATTAGTGGTATGTCTCGAAGAGGAAAGCTTGACTTTCTGGCAACCCAACTTCTCGGATCTCGCGAAAACTTCAACTAATGGGGTTGTTTGATATACTGGTTGTAAAAATCCATATGATCGTACAGGGTTACGGTACGTAGGCGAAGGAAAGATCACTGGTTTGCTAAACAAGTTGTCAGTTGGGTTAAAATGCCCATTGGCAGAAGTCATACTTTGTCTCAATAGTGCCATTTCATTCGGTAGAAATAGAATTAATCACATCTTTATTCCAGATAAGCTGGTGATTTAAAGCCTTCTCCATTTGCTTGACTTACAGTAAACTTAATAAGGGTTTCTTGTGTAGAATAAATATGATTCTGGTGTATTTATGGTTTTGCTTCTCCATGGTATATCGTAATCCTAACGTACGATCCTATCGTGCGAAACGAACATAGTAATCACATTCAGCAACCGAAAAATTGCAATTCAACCATTCATCAAATTAATTTAAAAACTACTGTGTGGAGGGAACGTTGACCATTTATTCCCAGGTTCCGCCAACACATCGGTTTCGTATCTCTCACATTCTTCAGCTTTTCAATTCAATTCAACAGGTAGAATATATGACGCTATATATAATCCCTGGTTTGATTCTTTAAAAGCGGGAAAAGCTTTATTCAAATGAATCAACAAGTATTTTAGTAGAAGCATTCAATGCTCCACTCAAGCCAAATATGGCGTTACAGCTGGAAGGTTGTGGACTATCACTGTCGATGGTATATCCGTTTGCGTTTTTTGATTGTCAGAAATAAGCATGAAAAAATTTGCAAGCAAATGTAAAGCCATTAGTAGTCCACGCTATTTTGAGCGCAAATAGGGTAATGGTAAGTTATTCGAAACCCGTCGTGTAAAATGACATCGTTATTATTATTCTTGTGAAAATTGATGTCAGAGACTCTTCTTAACTCAAGTGATTCGTACTTAGCTCACCAGCTCCATCATATCCTTTCCTGCTGATAGGTTATGACCACTTTTTCCATTTGGTTGCATTCCTTTAACCAGAACTAAACGCATATTTCTAACTGAATCCAGGATCGTATCAAGGTGCTTCGTTCTAATGTGTTGTATTTGCAAACTACTACAAATGCATAAACATCTGTAAATTAGTAATCATAAAGAGCAATTGTACCTTGCGAAAATTCTTTAGCGATAAAACCGAGGAAAGAAGAAAATCCTAAATGCACTTTTTTGTTTATTTATAGCCAAAATATGAATAGCTACAAGTAATAAATGAAGCATACAAATACAACATATGCATGCTCACCATATTTAGCAGTCAAAATATTGACAGTCTTCGTACTGAAATTACCTACAAACCTGTTAGTATGAAAAAATAAGGAGGAAACTTGTAGCTTTTGAGTAATCATTGCAACTTTAAGAACAATGTTTGCATCTTTAGCAAATTAGAGTTTACCAGCGAATTAATCAAACTTAGGAGTATTTTCTTATGAGACGTTCCAACATTGCAAGTAATACCTTAGATTTTCAAAACCACTGTCCTTAGATAAGTTGAGTGGTAAATGCGACTAATATATGTTTTGCAAAATTTTGGGAACATAGTGTTTGCGAACCTATTATCAATATGGAAAAAATTTGCAGTTGTTGAGTGCAATTTCTACAACTATAAAACAGTGAATTTGCATCTTTGGCAAATTTTAGTTATTAGGCAGTGAATTGTTGAAACCTTAAAGCATTTCCTAATAAGAGGTTCCAGAATTGCAAATCAAAAACCCAGATTTTTTAAATCACAGTTCTTTATTTATCACTGTATTTCCGAACTTTAATAAAACACCTAGGGTATAGCATTAACAAGTTTTTCTTCGAAATAGATTTGCAGTTTATCTATTTAAGCAGATATTTATCTTTACGAACCTCGGTATATCAACGCTCCATGGAAAATCTCATTTTCTTATCCAGAGTTCGGAATCTCTTCAGAGAGCGAAGATGAGCCTACTTCTTTGCTTAATGCCATTTCGCTAATCATGCTAAATTTCAGTTTGATCACTATTCTGCGGTGGAATAAAAATATTTTGTCTGTTTCGCATAGGTTCCGAAAACGCTGGAGCAGTTGATGAGATTGTGTAACTAATTCACAGTGTTTACATGACTTCACCTTGATGCCTTAGTAAAACATAGAATGAACTCTAATTATAATTGAATCGTGCGTACTAAAAACCACATCATTGCAGTTTTCCCGGAAGTCTTGAGAAAATGACTTCCCTACAGTGCACTTAACACATCCAGTAAAGCGCTAATGCACAACATGTTCGTATGACTCAAACTGTGCAAAACACAAGTTCTCGGCCAAAGAATTACGTTGGGTGCTGGAGCGCCGTTTCTCAATTTATCACAACAGGCATATCCATAAATTCAACATGTCGCGTATATCCGCTTTACATGGATAAAAAATACACACAGAGCTTATGGTTTTCATCATATTTTTTTACATCTCAATAAAATTGCACATTTCCTCATGAGCAATGTCTGATAACTTTACATAATGAGCCAAGTAGTGTCATAACATGCATGAATCATTTCTCGTCACTTCGACAACTATAATTCTCTTAAGTTGTCCAGATTTCATCATAGAATGTAAAACCCAGCAAATCTCTCCTCTTTTTCCACTCAAAAAAAACTCGAAAATTCGTCGTGAAATAGATTTTATTTACTTTGATGAGTCGAACGAGGTTGGGAGCTAAGAGCGAAAGTGCATTTGATTCACCTATATAGGGTGATGCAGTTACGTCCGCATGCAGACGCAACCGCCCAGCTGAGTAACCAAATAATTCTGCTAAATTGTTTAGTTTTATCACTTTGAGTCAAACAGGTTTGGTAAAGGTTTCGTTCGTTTGTATAAGAGCATAAGTTTCGGCGGCTGTATTTAAAGCTCAAACGATTTAAAACGTTGTCTCAGCATCCAGATTAATCTCATTCCGTTGTCATTTCTTATTTTTCCACACTACCATAGTCGCTGAAATAAGAAAACCTGAAAATGAAGCT